GGTTGTGCAAGGGGGTGTGTCACGTGGGGGGGGTGGTGTCTCGTGGGTGCGTGTGCAAGGGCGGGTCACGTGTGCGGGTCACGTGTGAGTGTGCAAGGGGCGGGGGTGAGTGTGCAAGGGGGGGGTCACGTGTGCAGGTCACGCGTGAGTGTCGCGTGTGGGTGTGCAAGGGAGTCACGTGCGCTCGTCACGTGCGCGGTGCGCGTGCAAGGCGCGTGCAAGGCGAGCTCCGGCGCGGGAGCGGGGAAGGGAAGGATTTTCCTTGGATTTATTTGATCCCGCGGGTCACGCGCGCCTCCGGCAGTTCCCGAATTCCCAAATTCCCCAGTCCCAGAATTCCCAAATTCCCCGGTCCCGAATTCCCGGGATCCCCGGACATGTCGGAGGTGCAATCCCTGCATTCCCAAATCCATAAATCCCGGGATTCCCGGGATCACAGCCAGATGTGCCGTTCCCCATTCCCCATTCCCGGAATTCCCGGGATTCCCGGGATCACAGCCAGATGTGGGAGGTGCCGTTCCCCGTTCCCCATTCCCAGAATTCCCGCAGAATTCCCGCAGAATTCCCGGGATTCCCGGGATCACAGCCAGATGTGCCGTTCCCCATTCCCCATTCCCCATTCCCGGAATTCCTGGGATTCCCGGCATCGCAGCCAGATGTGCCGTTCCCCATTCCCAGAATTCCCGCAGAATTCCCGCAGAATTCCCGGGATCACAGCCAGATGTCGGAGGTGCCGTTCCCCATTCCCCATTCCCAGAATTCCCGCAGAATTCCCGCAGAATTCCCGCAGAATTCCCGGGATCACAGCCAGATGTCGGAGGTGCAGTCCCCCCCCGGGTACCGCATCTCGTGCGCCAGGCAGGGCCCGCCCGGCTCCTTCCCGAAATCCAGCAGGAATTTGGGATTGACGGCCAGGCCGCCCCGCTCCGTGTCCACGTCCAGCTGCAGCAGCACCGAGCCTTCCCTGGGGGGACAGTTGGGGGCACCGAGACCACTTAGCTACTCATTAATAATTAATTATTAATAATTAATAATAATTGTTATTAATGATTAATGATTAATGATTAATTATTAATGGCGTGGGCGCTGACCTGAGGAGCTCGGGGTAGAAGAGCCGGTCCCAGGCGCTGTACAGGGAGGTGCTCACGTAGAGCCGCCGCCCGTCCAGGCTCAGCTGCAGCATCTGCGGCCCCCCCGGCACCTTCCTGCCCTGTGGGAATAATTCCACAGGGAAATAAATCATCCCTCATGGAAAATCCCAGATGGAAAATCCCACCAGGGCTGTGTCTGGCCAGGGGGGACGGAGCCGATCCCAATGCGGGATTTGGGAAGGATCTCAGGGAAGGACGGAGACAATCCCAAAGGAGGATTTGGGAAGGATGGAGCCGATCGCAAGGGGGGATTTGGGAAGGATGGAGACGATCCGAAAGCAGGATTTGGGAAGGATCCAGGGAAGGATGGAGCCGATCCCAAGGTGGGATTTGGGAAGGATCCAGGGAAGGATGGAGCCGATCCCAAGGTGGGATTTGGGAAGGATCCAGGGAAGGATGGAGCCGATCCCAATGCGGGATTTGGGAAGGATCCAGGGAAGGATGGAGCCGATCCCAAAGTGGGATTTGGGAAGGATCCAGGGAAGGATGGAGCCGATCCCAATGCGGGATTTGGGAAGGATCCAGGGAAGGACGGAGCTGATCCCAAAGGGGGATTTGGGAAGGATCTCAGGGAAAGACGGAGACGATCCCAAGGTGGGATTTGGCAAGGACAGAGCTGATCCCAAGGTGGGATTTGGGAAGGATCCAGGGAAAGACGGAGCTGATCCCAAAGGGGGATTTGGGAAGGATCCAGGGAAGGATGGAACCAATCCCAAGGTGGGATTTGGGAAGGACGGAGCCAATCCCAAAGCAGGATTTGGGAAGGACAGAGCTGATCCCAAGGTGGGATTTGGGAAGGATCCAGGGAAGGATGGAGCTGATCCCAAGGTGGGATTTGGGAAGGATCTCAGGGAAAGACGGAGCCGATCCCAAAGCGGAATTTTGGGATTTTTCGGGACCCACCTGGATGACGAAGGGCTCCGGTTGGCTCTGCAGCTCCTCATCCTCGCACACCCTCACCAGCCCTCCCTTGGCGACGCTGCCGCCCACAAACACCTGCAGGACAACCCCCGCTTTGGCCGATCCCAGGAAAAAAACCCCAAAACCATGGAAAAACCAACGGAATTCCGGCGGGAATCCTCACCTGCCCCACCAGCTTGGGATTTTTGGGGTCGGAGATGTCGTACTGGCGCACGTCGCCGTGCAGCCAATTGCTGAAATACAGGAATCGGTCGTCCAGGGAAATCAGGATGTCCGTGATGAATCCTTCGGGAAGGAATCAGAGAGAGAACCCAAAAGTTTGGGTTGAAGGCAGGGAAAGACCCCAAATCCTTGGATTGGAGGCAGGGAGACCCAAATTCTTGGATCACAGACAGAGAGAATCCAAATCCTTGGATTAAAGGTGGGGAGAGACCCCAAATCCTTGGATTGGAGACAGGGAGAGACCCCAAATCCTTGGATTGAATGGAGAACCCCAAATCCTTGGATCCAAGAAAAGGAGAGATCCCAAATCCTTGGATTTGAGACAGGGAAAGACCCCAAATCCTTGGATTTAAGGCAGGGAGAGACGCCAAATCCTTGGATTGAATGGAGAACTCCAAATCCTTGGATTTAAGGCTGGGAGAGACCCAAATTCTTGGATCACAGACAGAGAAACTCCAAATCCTTGGATTTAAGATGGGGAAAGACCCCAAATCCTTGGATTAAAGGTGGGGAAAGACCCCAAATCCTTGGATTTAAGGCTGGGAGAGACCCAAATTCTTGGATCACAGATAGAGAAACTCCAAATCCTTGGATTTAAGATGGGGAAAGACCCCAAATCCTTGGATTGAATGGAGAACTCCAAATCCTTGGATTTAAGGCTGGGAGAGACCCAAATTCTTGGATCACAGACAGAGAAACTCCAAATCCTTGGATTTAAGGCTGGGAAAGACCCCAAATCCTTGGATTTAAGGCTGGGAAAGACCCCAAATCCATGGATCCAATGGAGAACCCCCCAATCCCTGGATCCCTGAAATGATTCCGGGATGGATCCCGGCGCCGGGAATGCGCCCACCTGGCATCTCCGGCAGGAGCCAGCCCTCCACCTTCTTGCTGGGCACCTGGATCACCTTCTGCGCCGCCCAGGCTCCGTCCTGCGGGAGGAGAGGGCGGGACAGGAGCTCGGGATGGGATCCCACCACCCCAAATCCCACAGGATCCTTCTCCGGGTCCAGATCCGCCGGGAACGAGGGCTCTGGGATTCCGGGAAGGATTTTGGGAGGCGAAAATGATGCGAGGAAGGGATTTGAGGGCTGAAAATGTTGATTTTTCTCCAGGTGGTTTGGTGGTTTTCCAACCTCCTCTGGATCCAGATCCGCCGGGAACGAGGGGTCTGGAATTCCAGGAAGGAATTGGGGAGCCAAAACTATTTAATTTTCTAGTTTTGGGCTGCTTGGAAGGGATTTGAAGGCAAAAAAAAAACGCGGAATTTTCCAGCTCTTTTGACGGAAAACATTCCCAATCCTCCTCACAAACCCAACACTCCCAGGAAGTTCTAAATCCGCTAAAACCGAAACCATTCCCAGCCGGGATTCCCAAAATTCCCGGGATTCGGGGCTACCTGGGTCTTGTAGAAGCGGTGGATGGCGCTGCTGATGGTGCAGCCCACGAAACCTTGGGAAGCGTCGGGATCGTGGAGGAATCGGATTTCCAGCGGAGCCGAATCCTCGCCCACGTCGATGGCCTGGATGTACCTGCGGCTGCTCCAGTCCCACACGTTCAGCCGGCGCCCGTAACGCCCTGGGAAGGACGGGGAAATGGGAATTTTTGGGGGTTTTTTTGGGAATTTTGGGGGGGTTTGGGGAGGGGGGATTTTTGAGGAATTTTTGGGGGGATTTTTTGGGGAATTTTCGGGGAATTTTTGGGGAATTTTTGGGGAATTTTGGGGGATTTGGGGGGATTTTTTGGGGAATTTTCTGGGGGAATTTTGGGGGAATTTTTGGGGAATTTGGGGGGATTTTTGGGAGAATTGTTTTGGGAATTTTGGGGATTTTGTTTTTAATTTTGGGACCCCAAATCCTTGGATTGGAGACAGGGAGAGCCCCCAAATCCTTGGATCAAAGTCCGTGATACCCCCAAATCCTTGGATTGAAAGCATGGAAAGCCCCAAATCCATGGATTTTACACAGGGAAAGACCCCAAATTCTTGGATTTGACACAGGGAATGACCCCAAATCCATGGATTTTACACAGGGAATGACCCCAAATCCTCAGATCCAAGACAGGGAGAGACCCCAAATCCTCGGATCCGAGACAGGGAGTGACCCCAAATCCATGGATTTTACACAGGGAGAGCCCCCAAATCCATGGATTTTACACAGGGAATGACCCCAAATCCTTGGATTTGACACAGAGAATGACCCCAAATCCTCGGATCAGAGACAGGGAATGACCCCAAATCCATGGATTTTACACAGGGAATGACCCCAAATCCTTGGATTTTACACAGGGAATGACCCCAAATCCTTGGATTTTACACAGGGAATGACCCCAAATCCATGGATTTTACACAGGGAA